TGGCTCGATTATTTGTTAGCACCCTCATGGGAGTTGCCTTTGAATGGTTCAGGAAACTGCCTGCCGGATGTATCAAAAAGTGGGTGGACATAGAGAGGATCTTTCTATCAAGATTCTTTGAAGAGGATACAGAAGTCTCCATCCATACCCTTCTCGTCACTAAGCAGAAGAGGGAGCCCGTCAAAGCCTTCTTCAAGAGGTTCTGAAGCATGACTCTTTGATGTTCGTCAGGTATGACATAGTCTACCTTAGTAGAGACCTGTCGACACAACTTACAGACCTACCTTCTAGCGCAAATGAGGATTACAAAATGTCATTCTTGGAGACAATTAATCTCTCAAGGCAAACAGACTCAAAAAAATATTGCTAGGGTCAAAGCCGAAGAACAAAGTAAGCAGAATCAACCTGAGCAATGAGACCAAATCCAATCTTCTCAGTCAGAAGGGGAAAACACTATGGCCACTAAAGCTAATTCTCTTTAATAGGATGGAGAGTCCATAAAGCTATCACGTTAACAGTTACCTCTAATAGCCAAACTCTTTAGATGATGGCCTGCTATGTGGCGTATTCCAATCATAGTCGTTATACTCCAATGTCACTGAATGATTTGACGGATAGTGGCCCACTAGGTGATATGCCCTTCTACCCCTTTTTTTCTTCTCCTTGCACTAGTTCAAGATTGGGGGTTGGTTTATTTGTGGTCCACTAAATTATGAGTAATAATTTTTTTGAGTTGTCATGTTTAATAAAATACCTCTGTTAACTACAAAATCCACAAATTCCTGTTATGTTAATATCACACCTCTGACAATCTTCTTATCAATCCTTATCAATAGGATGATAGGTCCTCAAAGTTACCCCGATCGCAACAAATTCCTATCATGTTAATATGAGACCTCTGACAATCAACTTATCGACTCTCTCTAATAAAACGATAAGTCCTTAAAGTTTTCCTAATCGTAACAAATTCCTGTCATATTAATATCACACATCTGACAATTTACTTATCAATCCTCGTCAATAGAGTGATAAGTCCTCAAAGTTGCTCCGATCGCAACAAATTCCTGTCATGTTAATATGACACATCTGACAATCAACTTATCGACTCTCTCTAATAGAGCGATAAGTTCTCAAAGTTGTCCCAATCGTAACAAATTCCTGTCATATTAACATCATACCTCTGACAATCCAACTTATCAATCATCTTCAATAGGATGATAAGTCTACAAAGTTGCTCCGATCGTAACAAATTCTGTCACGTTAATATCATACATCTGACAACCAATCCTTTCATCACGTTAATATTACACCAATAATGTCGTCATGTTAACATTACACCTTTGACAATTAACTTATCGAATCTTTTTAATAGAGCATAGGTCCACAATCTTATCACGTTAACAAAACGCCTCTGACAATCAACTTATCGACTCTCTTCAATAGAGCGATAGGTCCACAAACCCGTCAAGTTAACATCATACCTCTGACGACTAAATCAACTTATCGACTCTCTTCAATAGAGCGATAGGCCAATAAAATACTGTTAGGTAAACATCACACCTCTAATAGTCAAACCCCCAATGAACTTGTTAATCATTTTTTAACAAGAATAACAAGTTTTCATTATAAAATCCCCAACTGATTAAAAATTTTCTGGAATTATCCTAGTGATAATAAAGAAAATTTCTGAATTTCACTCAAAGTGAATTCATGCTAAGTTAATACTATACCTCCGGCAATTCTAACTTTCTTTCAATATTTCAAGTGAACACATAACATAGGAAGAAACAACAACATAACCTACGTATTCAATATCATAGCAGGTTGTTATTAATAACACTAGAATCTATGCCTTACACGCATGGGAGATTTTATCTTGATCCTTAATTAGAAATAAGTCTGTATCTAACACATGCTATCGGGTAGCCTATTTTTGTAATAATAGCAAAGTCTACGTATTCAACATCGTAGCACCAAAAATCCATACTTTACACGCATGTGGGACTTTATCTCGATCCCTAATTAGAGATAAGTCTATGCCTAACACGTGTTGTTGGGTAGTCCATTCCCATAAAATTAACAAAGTCTATGTATTCGACATCATAGCACTAAGTCTAAGAGAGTTTATTATTTTAACACAATGTTACATGTGGAACGAACTTAGACAATCTACATACTAGCCCGACTCAAACGGTAATCGGTAAAGACTTATCAAATCCGTGGATGGCTGAGGGTTTGTTAAAAATCCTACAAATATTTACAGGCCCATTAGCTGAACGCATGTGAGCCGTGACATGACGTTTGAGAGCTTCTGCTCATGAGTAGCTTGTATCGTCGTTATAGTTTCTCTTTAAAGCTCATCCTCACATAGGTCCTTCGTGGTAAATTTCTTCAACCAAGCTGCCTTCAAAGAGGGTAAAGAGAACAACTCCTTTATGATAAGGAATCAAAAGCTCTAAGATCAGAGTTGAGATCCAAAGTATTTTAAAAATTCATCCCAGTAAACCGCGAACTTTCAAAAACTTTGGAGGGGGTTCTGTATGCTGTCTAAAAATTACTACAGATAGCTAATCCCTATTAAACACCGACGATTGAAGTTACAATCTGATGGCTTCCAGAAGACTATAATTTGAAAACTTTTACGTAGATCGATGAAACCTCTAATTCAACAGCCTTCGCAATCAACATCAGAAGTTATAATCTGGCGACTCTCTTATTTTCAAGGAGATAAGATGAAGGTTATAAGGTGATGATCCTTACAATGTTCTAGCAAAAGAGACTACAAATTAACGGTCTATTCAAATCAAAACGCAGATATCTCTCAAACCGTAAAGAATTTGGCAAAACGGACGGGAGCAAACTGAACCCTTAGAAATTTGGTGAAATAGACGGGAGCAAACCGGGGTAGGTTTGGTCGGCTCCGTCTCGTCAAGATAGTTGATTTTCATATACAATTTGTCCAATTCCAACTTACGGTTTAAAAGTTATGATCTGTTCTTTGCAGCAAGTTACGTTCTAAGTTTGTCTGCAAGACTAGACTTCGCCTGAACATTAGACTTAGCCTGAAGCTTACCAAGCTCGCCTCTGTATTCCAGACTCAAAATACAGAGTTTATCTCTACGTCCCAACAACAAAACGCAGAGTTCGTGGCTACGTTTCAGACTAAAAACATAGAGTTTGTGGATGCGTTCTAGACTCAAAATACAAAGTTCGTGGCTATATTCCAGACTCAAAACGCAGAGTTTGTGGCTGTGTTCCAGACTCAAAACACAGAGTTTGTGGCTGTGTTCCAGACTCAAAACGTAAAGTTCATCTTTACGTCCCAACAACAAAACACAGAGTTCGTGGCTGCGTTTTTAAGCTCAAATGTAGAGCCCAACTCTGCGTCCCAGGTCTAGAACGCACAATTCGAGCCTAGAACGCTAATTTTGGTGTTTGACTTGTTCAAACATTAGCTGGACAGTTTCACAACCGTTTTTCACGATTTGAGGGGATCACTCCCCCACTTAGGAGCGAATTAAGGGGGCGGTTACACCCCTTAATCCCCTATAAATAACTAAAAACTCAACTGAGTTCAGGATCTCCAAATAATCCTCTTTTCGCCAGCAAAGAAAAGATCTTTTGGCATATCATCTTTAAGGGAGATCGACATTTATCCTTTAAGAGCTAAGAGCATTCTTCGGTAACAGGAGCTTTCTTCATCCTTGGCTTACAAACCGATTTCGGTTAAATCAACTCTTTCATAGAGTTTTAAACTCCTTCAGAGTTATCAACTCGTCAAGAGTTTCAAACTTGCTTTGCAAGTTTGTCCAAGATGTCGAGTCAAGAGGCAAAGACAACGTTCCAGCGAGGTGTTCGGATCGTCAACGAGAAGAAAACTCGACACGAGATTCGAGGGAGGCATCTCATCGGCACCAAAAAGAACCCAGATTAAACAAAGGGAATGATCTCCGTCGATTCCTTCTCTCTTTTGTAAATTAAGAATTCGATACAAGAAGATTGTAATTTATTTTTCTAAGTCTGTTAGAGAGAAGTTGTATCGAGAGAATTGTAATTAATTCTTTTTCTGAGCCTATCAGAGAGAATAATACAAATTCATATTCTCATTGTATTCTTCGAATTTTCCCACCAAACAAAACTTACCACATAATAAGGTAAACACATCATAATTCAATGGCTTAGTAAATATGTTAGGCACCTGATCTTATGAATTCACAAACTCGAGCTCAAGTTCTTTGTTCTTTACTTCATCATTGATAAAATGTTATCGAGTATTGATATGTTTGCTCGTTTCATGAAACACTGGAATATTTTGAAAGTGCAATAGCCAACTTGTTATCAAGAGAAATTTTGGTCAGCTCTTCTTGTCCTGAGCTTAAGATCTTTGAGCAAATTTCTTAACCAAAGTGCATAAGTGACACCCACAAGTTGAAAGAGTGACTATTGGCTGCTTCATTGAAGATCAAGTAAAAACAGTGTTGCCGATAAAGAAAATGTAACCAGTTGTAGTCTTTTGGTAATCCTTCAATCACGCTGATAAATTCCCCATCTCGGCCTTGGTTCATCTTGATGCCAAGATAATAAGACATGAGTCCGATGTCTATCATCTCGAACTCACAAAGTGCGACCGTTCTACATACTAGTATATCAACCCCGCATGAGCTTAAATTAATGCTCTTCATCTTTTACATTCAACTTTATTTTAATTGGTATCCTATTCGAGGAGTCATTCCAGGGTGTAGGGACATGGAATTGGCATTTTCTAACTCTTTAAGCTTTTGTATGTCACCTTTTGTGGTGAATAATAAAATGCCTTGGCTATCAAATTTGAATATTTTGAACTCTTTCATTATAAGCAAAGTTTAACTTGCATATATATATATATATATATATATTCATGCTTATTCATTAAAACTATGGACACTTACAAAACAACTTTTCTGATTTCATACTTGTATGAAACAAAGAAAGATATTTCTATCTTAAAAACCTGAATAAAAGGGAAGTAATGAGCTTCACCCCAATGCCTTGTGCTATTGGATAACTCTTAATAATAATGATAATAATAAAGAGGAGCCGGGAAGTTTTTAATATCCATGGCACTGATCAATATGTATGAGATCACATGATGTGGTTGATGAGTCCACAAACAATCACCAGTCCAGTAATCAGCAACTGATCATGATTAGGCTGCACAATTAGTGTTAACACATCCTCCCCAAGTACAATCCCAGAGCTTGTAAGCTTCCTCTTGAGCTGCATACCACCAATCAAACTCATGCTTAACTCATTCCATAATGACCCTTTTAACTAAACCTTTAAAAACTTTTCCTGATACCTATTCACAAGATATCTACATACCTCAGCAACTGGCTTTCCTTCCATGTCTATTATCTTGTACTCAGTCTTCCTTGGTGAACCAAGAATCTTATAGCAACTGAGATTATTATTTCCCTTCCCAACCGTAACTCTGGCTTCAAAAGGACGACCTCTCTTCAAAATTCTGCTAGTTTTTTGAACTCTAAACCAGGGCTCTTGCTCTTCTGCTAGTAATCTATCACGTCGATATCCTTCCCATTGTCCAAAAACTCTCGGTTTCTGCTTCGATCACAAGCGATTATCTCAGATAACAATTAGCCAAATTATATACAATGTATTTCCTGGTATCTTACCTTTCTAAGTATTTTTGTAAGTATCCTTCCTCCATGATCCATTAGGTACACCTCATGGCTGGACTTGCGAGCATAATTATCAACACGATAGACTATCCGGCCATCAGAATTATAAATGGTGCATCCATTTCCATTCAACACGAGCGATTTCATCCACATTGTAAAGATTTTTGTTTCTGAAGAAGAGGAAGAAGAAGAAGAAGATAGGCGTGATTGAGGACAAACAGTAGCCATTAGAACTAAAAAACGAACGAGTTTGTGTTATGTTAGGAAAATCATCCTATCCTTTTATATACATGGCTCTCTTGTACGGAAAACAGAAGCATCCGATGCGAGTACTCCTTTGCTAAAAGTGCACGACATATAATGTTGGATTTCTGTAACACATGCAAATGACGCTAGGCCCTAGTAGTTGAAAAGAATTAGAAGATGCCTCTTTGAAAAATAATTTTGAAATTCTTTGAAGTTTCACGTAAAGGACATCCTAGTAATCATGCGTTTACTCACAGCTCAGTATCACGTGCGGGTTTCTGAATAGTAAATCGAGAGAGGAATCATCGAATCTATTCTTTCAAATCCATATTGCAAAAGACCTCGGACTAATTAATAGAATAAAATTTGGCTTATATGAAATAGAAATCAATTATACATAATTATAACTTTCTAGCTGAATATCAAGAAGCCCCAGTTAACTTTTGATACTTATCAGACAAGCCCCCATAACATTGAAAATATTAATTTAAAAAAAACCTTAAGCTTAGGGCTTATATATATCATAAAACCCCATTTAACTTTAAGATTTTACTTAAAAAACTCTGAAAATATTAACAGTAAGTTTTTACATCGGTGGATAAAATTATGCATAGGGATGTTTTTTTCCAATGAAAATTATAGTTTCCACTTTTTGTGAGGGTTGCTCATAAATCTTAACAAAGTTGGGGTTTTTTCCTTGATAACCCCTAAACTTAAGGGGACCTTTTTTTTGATATTTTGAAAGTTACGCGAGGTTTTCTGATACTTAATTAGTGTTGTGCGCAGCGGAAATTTCGGCAGAGTTTCTGGTGCACAATAAGAGAGAAAGATCGATAAGAATTCTTGTTTCTCAAAGGGAACAAGAATCTGAAAGCCTAATATCCCATCAAAGTGGGATATTTGCTCTTCCTCTCGTCAGCTCTAGGACTGCGCGTCGAGGGATCCTAAAACTATTACAATGGCCACAAACTCAAACAATCAACTTTTACGTGGTTCGGCAAACTGCCTACGTCCACGGGGCAAGGAGGGGGAGATCTACTATTAGAGGGAGAGATACAACTAGGGTTTACAATCACTCACAATTTAAACCCTCACACAAACTCTCAAATCCCTCACAAATATCTCTCTACAAAAGAGGTACACAAATCCCTAAAAAAAAGCCTCTGCTTTTCTTAGCCGAAAACACAAATTCTGTGCGTTCAGCGCATCCAAAACCTCGCATCTCCATAATCCAAAATTGTTTGTGCCATTAAACTTCTCCACATCTATCTTCATAGAGTGTATATTCAAACTCTGAATGGTCTTCGCGCCAGAAGAACCACCCTCGACACCCGAAGCACCTTCTTTCCCCGACATCTTACGCACCAACGAACAAAGAATAGATCCAAAACTGAAAGATAGAGTCTTTACCAAAAGATCCCACCTTTATCACCAACGAAGTCCTAAACGGGCCTCCAAATTGATCTACTCCTCTAACCAAACCCTAGATCTGGAATCTGGGCTCTGATACCACTTGTTTTGCGCAGCGGAAATTTCGGCAGAGTTTCTGGTGCACAATAAGAGAGAAAGATCGATAAGAATTCTTGTTTCTCAAAGGGAACAAGAATCTGAAAGCCTAATATCCCATCAAAGTGGGATATTTGCTCTTCCTCTCGTCAGCTCTAGGACTGCGCGTCGAGGGATCCTAAAACTATTACAATGGCCACAAACTCAAACAATCAACTTTTACGTGGTTCGGCAAACTGCCTACGTCCACGGGGCAAGGAGGGGGAGATCTACTATTAGAGGGAGAGATACAACTAGGGTTTACAATCACTCACAATTTAAACCCTCACACAAACTCTCAAATCCCTCACAAATATCTCTCTACAAAAGAGGTACACAAATCCCTAAAAAAAAGCCTCTGCTTTTCTTAGCCGAAAACAATTCCCCTTGCACTGTAGCCGCAAAAGACACCAAGCCGAAAAAGTTCTCCTTTGCACGCCCTCCTGCACAACTCTCCTTCGCACCTGCAGCCGCAAAGTTCCCGTAGCCTTGCTCTCTGTCTGCAGCACCCCTCACCTTTTGAACCACCTCTTCACGAAACCCTAGGTGACCCTTTTATAGCCGCTGGAAGTCGGGTCATGTCAAGGTTCGGGTGGGCTCATGTGGAAACGAAAAACCAAAAAAAAAAACGAGTTCTTTGATGAGTGGTCCCCACACGCATAGAAATCACATGCTGCTTTGAAACCACCACACGCATAGAAATCACATGCTGCTTTGAAACCACCGCCTTAGCCTTCCACATGTCTCTATCAACAATTAGCCCTTTCTAATAGCATAGAACATGCATGCTTTACTTGAAGATCCTTTCACATCCCAAATCCTTGACTGTGATAATCCTGGTCTGAAACCAAGAAAGGTCGCTGGATGGCTACAAAAGACGATAGAAAAACATAGCGGAAAGGTGGCAGCTGGTTCTTTTTATTTTAGGTTTAAAATTTCAAGAAGAAGAGCCAATAGTTTATTTAACAAGGTTGACAGTATGGATGTGCTAGGATTTGCATTTAACTTCCGAAATATATTAGAAGTTGTCACTTGCTTCTATTACTAAAGCCAAACAGAAAGGAGAAAAGTCGGCGAAGGGGAATAAGTAGGCCAAAGAAAAAAAAAAAAATTGAGCACCAGAATTTTATTCGAACTCCTAGTTTCCTTGTCTATTTGAGGATGTAATTAAAGAGGTAACTACAAGATAGGCAAATAAAAATGATCATTGTTCAAATCTGTATAATTACAACCACCCCATACGTAGCTGTGGCTGATCTCAACAGCGCATACTGACAAGTCTGCACCATTACTGTCCTTTTATCCAAATTATAACAAAATCTACAGATATAACTAAAACAACTCATGCATGGTATATTATCATTATCCTCGCTCCCAAGAGAGAGAAGGCAAGCCACAAATTGCAAAAAGCCACAAATTACAAAAGTCCCCCATGTTTTCCCTGTCTACCCGTAATCTTAATTAAAAAAAAAAAAAAAACTTAGGCATCAGATGGGCGATGTCAGGGAACAGCCAACATCATCCTCCGACGTTCAAGTGTGCATGACATTGTTGGCTACCTGAGCTCCCAAGCTACAAAACTTATCCGTGTGCATTACAAGGGTTAGTGTAGTAAAAATGAGTTCTGTTGAGAAAGTACTGGTAAATAATCCACTTTTAATTTATTAGAATAAACCAGACATAGCATAAATTCAATAATGTTCAGAAAATACAACTTAATTTCTAAGCACATTATCACAAGAACAAGAAATATTATAATCCCTCAAACGTTTGAAGCTCTAATGTACGAACGTGGTTGTAGGCGTTAAAAATTACCTATAGGGTATCACACTTAGCTCAAGATAAAGATAAGGCGATAAACATCATTATCTAAGTTATAAAGGATCATTCAAAGCCAAAGATTAACTAAGGAATGTACGAGAAGCGCATCACACAAGTTTCGAGGCACAAAACGTGTCTCAAAAACTATGAGAAGACTCATAGTTTCTGAGACAGTTGCGGCTGTCTCGGAAGCTATGAAGGCAAATTATAGTTTCCAAAAAACTTGCGGCTGTCTTGGAAGCTATGAAGACAAATCACAGTTTCCGAAACACTTGCGGCTGTTTCAGAAACTAGAGTAGACTTGGTGACAGTTTTCTCGAGTTTTGAGCGATCCACGTGGCTTCATAATTGCTGGAGACCATCCATAATCGTGGGGGACACGTTACAAGCAAAAATCACGTTAATAACTGCTGAAGTAATGGTATTAAAGCGTAGTGGGAACGGTTACAAAATGGACAGGAACAAATCCTGTTTCCGAGACAACTGCGACTGTCTCGGAAATAGGGATTTTATCAACATGTTTTGTTTCAACTCCATGTTGGCCTTCTTGTTTTGATGATGATTTACAAACAATTTACTACTAATGTTGTTTGTCTAGTGTTTGTGCATTCCTATGTATTGTAGACAAACAACGTTGTTAGAGGATGGATGGAATAGAGCTTCAACGATCATATCCAAAGGAGGTTGGCGGAATGTCGGTGAATCTTATGCAATTCAAGTTAAAGATCGAGTTCAAGCTTCATCCGCAAATATATCAAGTCAAGCCTATTGAAGATCAAGATCAAGCTTTGGTATATTTAGTTTAGGGTTTGTAGACTTTAATATCAGTTTATACATGTTTTACTAAGTCTATAAAAATATTTTACAAAGTTTTAAAAGTTGGTTTATGTCAAAACATCAAAATTCAAGTATCTCATATTTTCATGTTTTGGACTATTTTGTAAAATGATGATATTTTTCATTTGGGAGGTCCTTTCTGATAACCAGTCATTGTAGCATGTTTATTATCATGTCTACAATCATTCCCCAAAGTTTTATATTTTTTAGAATTTATTTGATATTTTTAAACAGTATTTTTAAATCAGCAAATCAGATTTTCATATATCAGTTTTCGGTCGACCGCACCGGTCGACCGATCATTTGATCTTTCAGTACTGGGCGACAGAGAGTCTGTCGGTCGACCGCACCGGTCGACCGACGATGGTCCAGAACTGTTTCTTCATATTTTTGCTCTCCATCGGTCGACCGACGAAATTTCCGGTCGACCGATAATAGATCCGTTGGACTTCAACGGCTATTTCTCTGAGCTATTTGCTGGGACTGTTTTTGTCTTTTGTTTGGGCTTCTTGACTGAGATTTCAAGTGGGTATATATACCCTATTGCTGCTCTCTTTCAAGTGAGCTAAGAAGTTTTTAAATAAGGGTTTTAAAAAGAGTTTAAGCTTGTTTAAGCTTGTTTAAGCTTGTTTAAGGGTTTGGTTTAAAGCAGTTTTAGTTTTCACAAGTAGAGGAGATTATCTTATTGTTTGGGCTTCAAATCTCCATCTTCCAATCTTGATCTAGAGAAGTTTTCCTAAACTCAACTCTAGCTTTTACTTATAATT